GGTGCATGGAGAGGATGAAAGAAATCACATAGCAGGAACTCCAGCAACACTTGAGGGAAGATGAACAACTTTAATAATTGACCAATGCGCTTCGGCTTGTGGGCTTCATCAGGGTCCAAGGAATTTTATCCCATACAGAAAAGCTTTAGGATGTTGGTGGGATTCCTCAGATGCTCACTTCAGGAACATTTCTACTGGATTACGGTCAGGTCAGGACTTTGACTGCTCAAACCCCCAGAATTCATAACCCAGAGTTAGTTAAACTCCAGGGATATCACTCTGTCCAGTTAGGAAGCTTCAACCACGTCTGACAGTTTGCTCAGAAACATGTACATGAGTAACCCAATCAATGATATTGTGTGCTTCTCTTGTTCCTCCTGCTGGGTTGAAGCGCTTCTACAGCCCTTTCCCGCTCTTCTTAAGTAACTGCATGTTACTTGGCATCTCCTCCACAATCTGGAGACTGTGCTGACCCAGCAAACCTTTAGCTAGATTACACATGTAGTCACAAGAACACTAGGGAAAAAAGCAAAACTAGAAAAAAAGGGATAAGGACAGAGAAACAGTCTATAACATCTGCAAAACGATTCCTTTTTGGGGGTTGTCTTGTTTTTGCTTCTCTGGTGAATCTGTTGTCACTTTCAGTGAAAGGATTTGAAATGGATTCATAATGGTTTATACCTTCTAAATGACCACACTGACATCCCTGAGGTTAAACAACACCACCCTGTAGATAGGAGAATAATGTGTCAACCTTTACTCAAACACAACATTTGCTCCACAGAGGTTGTTAGAGAAGCCTTCAGTGGCTTAGATGCTATATCCTACATTGCTTTGTGACTTCCCAGACTATCACATGACTGGTTCTCCTGGTTTCTCTCATGCCACGGAAATTCCCAGTCTTTTTGGAGCCTGGTTAAATGAAATGAGGACACAGATACTAAATAAGTAAACACAGATTAGGTATTTTTTGGAGGGAAGAGGTTTGTGATGTATTCTGCTGGTGGAATAAAGCAGCAGGTGATGGCTCGGGGTATGAGGGTTGTCTATTTGAAGAGAAAACGCACAGGTCATATGGGCAACTGATTAATCAGAGCTATTATTAAAGCTGGCTGCCTAACCGATAAAGGCACAGTGCTGCTTGAATTTCAGACAAGGGCCAAAGGAGGTTTCTATCTGGAGACTAACATAATTATAAGTGGGATACAGGATTTTACGAACCCACCTAAATAATGTAAACTCATGGACCTGAGCAGATTTCTTTTACTGGATAAGTACAAAAAAGTAACATTTTCTTCTCACCTACCTTGTGTCACCATGAACAAATGCTGTGTTAGATTGTGTCTCTTCTTGTCAGTCACTCTTCTTGCTCCCCCAGTTCTCACACATCCAGACACCCGATGGCCAAAACATATGGCTGCACCCAGTGGCGCAGCAGTTAAATCAATTCAATCTCCCGATGGGTCTTACAGGAGCCACGCTGTGACAAAATAAATCCAAATAAACTCCCGTTCAATCCCAACAGTAAAATCGTAATATTTTAAAGCCGAAGGGAAAGCGTAGATTTCTCCCAAGGGTCCTTCTGCTCCTGAGTGTCACCGAGCAACTGCAGGATGCCCCAGAGCCACCCCTCCTACTACTAACTATGTTTGTGTGTCTGATTTAGCCCACCCTAGTTTTTTTCACCCCTGCTCCAAGCATGCTTGTGCACACGCCCCAGCTTTCCAGGCCTTAAAGGCCTAAAATAGCAGAAGGAACACGGGGTTATTATTAGCTGCTCAGCCAAAAGGATGACTCAAAGATCTGGGTGGAGGGCATGATGGGGGTACAGAGGGATAAACACACTCATAAATACTCACAAGGACAAATATCACAGTCTGGCAGCTTCACCTGGCCAAAATATCCTCTCAAGTGTGAGAATCAAGAGTGGATGCTGTAGTGTGTACATAAAGGGTGGAGTAACTGTGTGTCATGCTAAACTGGATGCTGATAAAGGATGTTAGGGTCATTATGAAAAATCATCAAAATGTGCTTTGAAAACAATGAAAGCTATGGCTCAATGGGGCCCATTTAATGTCCTCTCTCTTTCTTTCATTCTTGATCATTGAACGAGAGCAATAAATCTGCATAGTCTTCAGATTCAATGTTTTTTAGATACAGACAAATTATAAAAGGATGCACAACTTTTCAAATGACTGCATCTTTTTTAGTAACATTGGTAGGTATACTGCTTCAAAAGCCCTCACCCTCTTGGGCCTCTAGGCTCCATCCTGGTAGGTCTGTTCAGTGATCCATCCTTGGTTTTATTGGAGGAAGTAGCAGCTGGTGGAGGTTTGCTCCAGAGACAAGAGGAATGAAAGTCAGTAAAAGCAAGAAAGAACACATTTGTGTGAATTAGACAGATCGGGGAGAGTGAAACAGCGAAGCTATGAGGAGAAGAGGCAGTGAAAGTGGGCGAGTTGAGTGCCAGGCTGGTAGGAGTATGAAGGTGGAAGTAAGACCTGCTTCAACCTGTATGGTTTGGAGGCGATGGCATTGACAAAAAGAGAGAATCTGAAGATGTTACGATTTTCATTGGAGTTTGGAGACAGATTCAGAGGCGTGGCTGAGATGGTTTGACAGAGGGGTAGTGGATATATGGAGCTGATAGGCAGGAGGAAAACAGGAAGACCTCAGAGGATTGTTGGATGTAGTGAGGGAGGGCATGCAGAGGGTGTGGGAGAGAAGAATGTTAAGGATAAGGTGAGATGGAGGAAGATGATCTGCTGTGGCAGCAGCTCAAAGAAGAAGCAGCTGAGATTAAAACACACCTAGCACAACTAGTCATAAATGTAGCATTAAAGTCGTAAT